AAGAATAAGTCTACAAAAAGCACATGTTCAATAATTGTTGAAAAATAGGAGGGCATTTATCACATGTTCAGTTAATAATTTCAAGACTTCCTACAGGAGGGCAGAGTATACAATTTTTTTCTGTGTTATCATTTTTATCAAATTTCAACAAGATCCAATTTGCAAGCATTTACTAATCTTTTGAAATCATCAATTATCAATGAAAAATTAAATTTCATAACTTGAAAGAGGCATACATTGAAAAAACATTGCACTGACTAGACATACCATGCTACAACTGAGACTGTTTTTGTAAAAAACAAAGAGGTTTCAATCAATGTTATAAGTATTTCTGTGCAGTGGGGTGAGTTCTAGGCAGGGCCGGACTGGAGTTACAAAACGGGTTGTATTTACTGTAACAGGGTGTATTTCTCTAAGCAGGCCAACTTCTACTATAAAATTTGTGCCGCAGGCAAATTTTTTTCATTTCAAACTTCAAGTTGAAATGCTTGAAATCCATTGTTAGAATATAAAACACCAAATATATTGAGATTTCAACTACCTATATAATGCACATGTGTTTTTATAAAATTTCAAATTTTTATCAAATATCTGGTCCAAAATGAAGCTCCAACAGACAGGCACAGGCCACTGGCCAGAGGGCCAGGAATGAACCAGGCCATCATGTGAAAGCCACTGAAAGCCGAATCTGGTTCGAAGGGGGAGAGGGGGGGCAGCTGAATAGGGCATTCTACACGATTCTACTCATTCTAGGTAATATAAGTTGTTTCTTATTGACTTTAATTTTTCTTGGAATGTTTACTGCAAATTCAGATACTAGGGTAGATATGTTGAAGTGAAGGACTAGTCAAAAACTCTTGGACTTGGGCAATGGGTGTTGTATCCTTGGTGTTATTATAGGCATAAATGGAAGATTATTTTCTTCCAACAATAATGTTTGTGAAGATTTGATAAACAGTTCTTAATTCTTCTTACTTTGTGGAACATCAACCAAACTCAAACATCGACCAAATACCTATTCCAGCAAACTAATGTTCTATTAGGCTGACAATTTTTCAGGTACAACAAAGGAGGAGAGTAACATACTGAAGGCCTTCTGAATGATGGTTTTCATCCTCCCTACCCCAACACCCACCTAGATAGTAGATACCCTGCTATGCACCTACATAAAACAGAAATTTCACATGTACCTAGCTTTGGCCTTGGCCTTAGCCAGTCAGCCACCTAGCTAATCCCCTACATCATGAATTCAGGGGATAAAAATTCAATTTTCATCAAAAGCTACCTATATGCCAATGGCACAGGATGTGAACAACACAAGTATCAATCCAAACCCATTAGGTATATCATTATGTAAATAATATGAACCTTGATAAAAACTGGAACAGTCACAAAATTGAAAACAATTAATAGTGAAACAGTACAGAATTTAATAACCTACTATGGCTCGGATTCGTCAACAAAATATTCATTATGTAATCATGAAGGTTGGCTTACCCCTTTTTTCATAATTTCACCCTCTGATCCACTTTCAATCGTCTCTGTACGGCTTGAAATAATGATGTCTTGAAATGTAATATATGTATTTAGAACTAACCTAACACAAGCAAAGCAAAATAATTAAAATATCTCTGCTGCATTCTGCAATCTGCATTTCTGCACTGCAACTGCACTGCACTGCTCTGAATGCTCTGTCAGAGATATGTCAGACTGTCAGAGACCTCCAATATTTAACGAGTGCCTCCCAACAGTTACGGCACACTACATCCACCATTCTTGCTTCCAACGCACGATTGTGCAAACGACACGCGACCTCGTATAAGCATAATTTACCGATTAAACGAACTTACCTCTGTTTAACACATGCGCCACCCTTTATGCGAGTAATAAGAAAACATATACATTGAGTGCAGAAACACTCCACCAGTTCCTGCCAATGGAATTCGCTATATATTAAGCGCATTGTCTAGAAAAGATCAAGTGCAGTAGTTGCCACGAGTTTATAGATGATGAAATAAGAAGTACAATATGACTATGACCACGAGGGAAGTGTCTATTTGCACGCAGTGCATGCATACGTACGAATACGTACAAATAGCGATAGGGCACTTTATCCGTACGTTTACGTGCGAATAACTACCAAGAATGCTATCCGTACGTAAATTGACAACTATATTTGCGTACGGATAGGCTTTCCCATATCTATCGGCACGTATACGTACGGATAGGCTTTGGCATATTTATACGTACGTATACGTACGGATAGGCTTTGACATATTATTCGTACGTATACTTACGAATAGATATGCAAAAACCTATCTGCACGTATACGTACGTATAATATGTCAAAGCCTATCCGTACGTATAAATATGCCAAAGCCTATGTGTTAGGCACAGAGGAAAATGTGCTAGAAAATTAAGAAGTTCCTACATTTATTCAGATCAATGTGATCGACAAAACAATCGATCAAATTCGAATTGCTATAATGGTTTCAAATCTCGATATCAACTGATATATTTTTCTAAAATTGAAAACATTTACGTAAAATTGCGGATAAGCAAAAAATACACTACACGTACATAATACGTAAGCCATATTCGTACGTAAACGTGCGGATAGGCATTGGCATATTATACGTACGCATACGTACATATAGGTACGTCGAAACCTATCCGAACGTTAACGTGCGAATAGGATTTTAGCATATTATTCGTACGTAAACTTACTAATAGATGCAGCCGACCACGAGCTACCTTGACGTTCCTAGCGAAAAGCTACTTTACATCTCAACAGCTTCTCATGACCTACAAAGCACAGATACGGCCTGTTCTAGAATACTGTTCCCACCGAGGTTCCCACATATGGGGTTCAGCACCAAAACATACGCTGATGCTCTTAGATTCCATCCAGAGAAGAGCCATTCGCCTGGTGGGTGACGCCACACTCACTCACTTTTTGACATCATTGGAACACCGTAGAAAAGTCGGCGACCTTTCACTTTTCTATTGATACTTCCACGGGAAATGTTCTTCGGAAATCTCTGCTATCATCCTTTCACTAGCAATACCAGTCAGACGAACTAGACAAGCCCAGTCAGCACATTCTTTCGTTGTCAACCTCGAAAGATGTGGAACAGCACATTATGAAAACTCCTTCATCCATAGAACGGCTAGGCTCTGGAATTCATTGCCTGAGGAAGTATTCCCAACAACATATAATCTCCAGAAGTTCAAAAAAAAATCCAATACCTACTTCCTGTTTCTATCCCCCTAGGAACGCACGATGTTCTTTGAACATCATAGGGATTTCCTTTCGTGCGCTCCAAGCGATAAAATAAAAATAATAATAATAAAAAAATGAACAAGTAGGTATTCCTCAAAATACTTATTTAATTTGAAGAATGGTGAAATATTCGGTAATTTTGCACTTATCATGCGATGGGTTTTTTTTCGAAAATTTTTTTTGGTAAATACTGTCTGTATTTTTGTCTGAAAAACACGAATTTGATATTAAAAATGTGAACAAACCACTATTTATCGAGATATTTCAAGAAAAAGTTCGAAATTTTGCCTTATTTTCCCCCTTGTGTTGGATGCATTTACAGGTACTTGCTCTTTTTATTTTGTCATTGGACACTTCATATACTCATGATGTACTTCAATGACACATTTTAAGCTAGAAAATTCAACAGAAAATATGATTTTTATGGTGAGTTTTTACTATTTAGTGAGCAAGCATACCAGATGACCGCCATTTAATTGATGGGTAATCCAAATAGGAGATGTCAAATGTCAATAGATTGCTTTGGAATGACATCACACACGCCATTATTTCAAATGATATTATTCCTTCTTTTCACTAAACATGGATAAATCACAAGAAAATCATATTTCTAGTTGACTCATATAATAAAAAATATGTGTCCAACATTGTGTGATATATATAAATTGTCCAATGATGGAAATAGAAGGGCAAATTGTTCTAAATGCGCCCCAAAGACAGGCGGAAAAGAAGGTGAAACTTGTAACTTTATAGTGAAATATCTCAATAAATAATGGTTTGTTCACATTTTCATTATCAAATTCGTGTTTTTCAGACAAAAATACGTAAGTACCAAAAAACATTTTCGAAAAAAAACCCATCGCATGATAAGTGCAAAATTACCAAATATTCAACTGGACCACTTCATTTTGTCCAGTTTCCTTCTGAAAAACTATTTCTTTGTGATTTCAAAGATATTGTATATCATGATAGGGATAATGAAGATTGAATACCATGCTGCAACTCAGAAAAATCAATTTGGATTGACTGCTTGAGCACCATTATTACTTTTCCTAAGAACGTTGATAAGAACTGTGAATCAAAACTTGTTTAAAATCAGAAAAAATTATTTCTTAAAGTCAAAGCCATATAGATGATTTGAATTAAGACATATAGGAGTATTGTGGTCACTGACTTATTAATTGTACATGGAACATTATGTGGTTCCAAAATATGAGCAATTTCACAAGCTAATGTTGAATTAGGTATTGAAAAATCAGATGGAGCATCAAAGCTAATTTAATGAAGTAGGTACATAACCACAGGACTATTGATGATTAAAGGATAGAATGGATCTATATTATTATAGATAAGGATAACTCAAGTAATGAAATAGGTGAAACACAGGTGAAAATAAGGTATTCAAATATTCAGTTTTTCAAATGTAAAAACTTTACTAACTATGGAATTTCCACAAAATTCTTAGTCACACAACATGTTTCACTAACTCAGTAGCTTCCTCAGGTAAAATACTGGTACAATGAAAAAAAAATGTACCAGTAATTCACATCTTGTGTGACTAAGAATTTTGTGTTTTGTGAAGTTTTTACATTTGCTATGGATTTCTATCAAGTAAAGGCCGAGCCAATTCAAAATTCGCTTTTTTATATCAAGAGTGATCTTACAAGATTTTCAATGCATAAACCACATGAAAAGTAAAAGATTTGTCAACTTATAATCATTCAATGATTTTGGCTAATACTGCAGACCTTCTTGCAGTGTTTTGAAATAGTGCCCTTATTAATGACTTCAATTCACTAGGTTTGAAATGAAGAGCAAGAGGTCCTTTACCATCAGCCCACCTATTTTTGATGTCCAACAAACTTGCCCCCAACACAAAATCCAGTTCATTGAGTTTATACCACATGACTACAAACAGTGTAATTTCCTTTGGATCAGAGAACAATTTTGGACCACGGACCAGGATCATTTTGATGATTTCCATCAGCTGTTCAGCTGATTTAGAAGAAATACCCTCATATTTCAACACTGATGATATGATACAAGTACATAAAGAGTTCAGTATTGCACCTAATGTTCGGTTATAAATGGAGAATGGTAATACTTTCTGCCATACAGTTTTCAGTAATTCCTGTTGCCTAAGGCACTGTCTAACACTTTTTTCTGTAACAGGTTGAAGTTCTTCAAGTACAACACCATCCAATCCACTATCCTTCATGATTTCATTTATGTGTTTTATCTGTTCTTTCACATAGTTGGAAAACATTTCTGAGGCTATATGCTGCAACTGATTTATCTCATTTGTGAATCCAAGATTACCAGTATTGCATGTTGATGGCAATTTTTGGCAGTATGTATCATTCCATTTGGTCAATTTATGACAAATATAAAGGCAGTTATTGTGAAATAATGCTACTTGCTGTGGAATGGTCTGCAAAAGCTTTTTGTGGTATTCAGGAACACATAAGCCATACTCTCTCATTATATGTTGAGCAGTATAGAAGAGACGTCCACCACAAACATCTGAACCTTTGATGGCCTTTTGCATTATTTTCTCAGTGAGCTGCAGTAGTGCTATTGTGCTCTTAGAAACTGAACATTGCTGGAAATCTTCACTCATACTTGATAAAAGGCTATCAGGGTTAAAAGGCTCCCCAACTTCAATCATGTCATGTAAATCTTTCTTCATAATCTGTATGGCAATTGTTGTATATTCCAAGCATTTTTTATTCATGAATAAGACATCAACATTGTTGGCATATTCCACTAGTGATGCAGTTCCATCTACAAATATTTTACTTTCTCTCAGAAAATCTTCCAATTTTTTGGTATCTTCAATGACAGTTTTGTATTTCTGTAACCCTTCTACAGTAGATGGAATTGTGTCTGCTAAGCAGCTTTTTATAAGAATCTCTGACAGATTATCTCTGATACTCCTGCAAATATACTCTAAAGTTGTGAGATCATCATTCAACTTGAAGTTGAAATATTCTCTCAAAAATTCCATTATCAACCTCACTTTGTCAAAAACTTCTGAGTAATGTGACTTTTTGGTAGAATCCTTGATGGTAATCTGAATAACACAGGAGATTTCATTTTTTCCTATTACAATATCTACTACCTTGTCTATGGCTGGTAAAAGAAAACTATTCCACAACAAATTTATAAGGTTATGGATAAGATCAACTTCTTCAGTTTGATAACATAATGCTAGTAGGGCTCCTTCAAATTTTTCATTTATATTCAAAACTTCAATACTAGCATAATTTTCATTGCACTTCATGATGACATTTTCATTAAAAACATTCTCTAGGGCATTGAGTAAGTCATTTCTCTTTGAATGTATAGTTATTGACAATTCTCTCATTATTTCAAGGTGATCTTCTGTGGGAATTTCATCGGTAAGCAATGATTCAAGTTCACAAATAAGTTGTTTACCTTTCAGATATTCCCCAGCTATTAGGAGGGTGTCAATTTCAATTAACTTTTCATTGATATTAGATAGTTTAGAAACAATATCAATAGTGAAATTTAAGATCTCCAAAGACTCTACATTTTTTTTCAATTCCTTGCTAGATTTTGAAAGATCTTTCTTTGTTGCACTCTCAGCATATTTCTTGAGGGAATTGATTTGATCTTCAATGTCATGAATTTGGTTGAGAAGTTCTCGGTTTTGTTTTGGTCGACAGCTGTATTTAACATAAACGTTTTCCAGGTATTGCACTACATCACTTTTCACATCATCTATCATTAATTTCAGTTCTGGGACTTTTCTGTTGATTTCTTCTAATTCCACTTCCTCTGCAGAAGATAGAACTTCCGCTAGAAAATTCATGATCTCAAAGGATTGATCAATGTCCAACGCTGACAATAAGATCAATAAGTTCAACTTCAAATATTTTCAAATCATCACAGATCACCCACCCTACAAATCATCTTCGTTGTTCAAATTCAAATCTCGGTTCTAATCAGGATGTTCAAATCAAACACAAAAAACAATGAGAGGTTAGGACTTAGGTAAATGTCACGGACAGTTTGTCAGTCATGTCACTGATCATGATTTATGATCAATAAGTGATCATCACTGTGTTGCGACGTATGTCTCTCACCAGTTATGCGTATAGAAGCATGCTGTTGTGCTGCGGAAAATCTCAAGGTTATAATGTTCGTTAGCCTATTTTGTTAAGGGCGCCGTACATTATGCTATTTACCAGCAAGTTCGATGCAATGCAATTTTGAATCGAACAATGCGCATGTGTCTATGATATTTCACGGCAAGTTTCATGCAAGTTTCGTAATAGAACCAGTCCTATTTTTCCTGCAATTTCAAGGCAAGTTTAGTAAAATTTTTAGTAATATTCATCGTAGCATCTTGATAAAATACAAATGATCTCCATAACGTGGCCTGAAACACCAAATAACCTCAAAAAGTACATTGAAGGCTTAAAAAACCTGAAACTAGTGAATATGAACGAGTTTTATATGACAGAAATATCTCATTGTACGGCGACTTGCAATAAAGTGAGAAAATTGCGAGAAAATTGCATTGCCTCAAACTTGCCGAGAAATAGCATAATGTACGGCGCCCTATTATGCAAACAATATGCCACGTGCACCAAGTTGCCTTTTTATCATGATTTCAACAATTGGATTCAAAATATCCAACAATCACTACAATCAGACATAAACTCTATACATCGCAAACTTATTGGATATTGATTATTAATTTTCAATGTATAGAATTGCATGTCTGATTGTTGGACATTTTGTGTCCAAGTGTTGAAATCACGATAAAATCAAAGAATAGTAGGTTCCTCTTTGATAAAATAGGCAGCCTGGTGCGATTGGCATGAAATTATGGTTGCGCTTGCGCAGTAAACAAAACGTGGTAACAAACATCAATGGTGTCGACAGCTAGAGTCCCTGTATGTATTTGACACTTTTGCTGTAATAAGAGTACGGACACTATGACAAGCAGTGACAGAAGGCATAACCCTAAAAAATTTGAAATGACATGAACAATTTGGCGGGCACTGACAGTTCATGAACGTACATGACATTAAATTATTTGAAAATTCAGGTTTTCAAAAATTAAAATGTCTAATTGTGTAGTGGAGAATTGCAAAAATGGAAGCGAGTCCTTTCATTTATTCCATTTCCCCCATTCTAACCAACAACAGTTACAGAAATGGAAAGAAAATATGAAGCGGCCACTATGGAAATTGAATTCAGGTAGCAATATTTGCGAAGTAAGTACTCAATATTTGAATTTTTCGATTGAATATGATGCATATTCGAAGGAATAATATCATTTATAATTTCAATTTTAACATTATAGGTGCACTTCAAATGTGAAGATTTCATAGTGGAACATACCATCAAATTGAAAGAAAATGCGGAGCCTTCATTCCATCATCAGAAGCATTATCGAAGACATTCCTTATCGAATTCAGGACAATTTTTAAGAGGAAAAATTCAAGTAGAATACCAAGATGAAATTAAATGTATTTTGGATCACAAACAAGAAATTATCAAAGATTTAGAGAGAAGATATGCCGAAATTCGAAATTTATTAATAGTTAATGATGAAAGATACAGAAAAAAAATCAAAGAAAAGGACGAACATTTGAAAAATAGCTTGAAGCAAAGAGATTCTGAAACAAGACTGCAAGTTACGAATATTCACAACTATTAGAAGGAAATAATTTTAGATCTTCGACTATCTCATCAAAAATCTTTGAAAGAGTGTGAGGAAACTGCTAATGCAAGAATACAGGCAATTTTGAATCGACTCAAGACCCAAATTGATAGTTTCGGAATAAATTTCAACCAAAATTATAGTCAATTCCAGTATTTTAAAACGCGAATCAATGAAATCGATTACAAATTAAAAGGTATTCTAAGTAAAGTTGCTATTTATTATGAGCAACATATTTCTCATAATTCTAAATATAATGGTAATAGATGGAATGCAGAGAGTGTCGAAAAAGCTTTAGTCATAAAATTCATGTGTAGGAGCATTTAAATTGTATGTTGCCAGATTACCCCACTTTACTCTACCATTATTTGAAATTTTGTATTCTTGTCATAGGATATACTATTCTTGAATTATAATCATTATACTTGTATTTGTCGAATTTTCTGATCGTTCATGCCCTATGAAGTGTCTTAGTATGTTATGAGAACAAATATAAGTTTGTTAATTGGTTGAATTGTTCTTCCCATTCATTTACATTCTGCCCATCAGAACTGGCTACTAAATCCTGACTCTATCTATTGAAAACCTAGTGCATCCTGAAATCAAATAAATTGAAGTACATATACCCTTTGTTAAGTATATCGAGAAATACTTTCAACAAATTGATTTACAAACTATGACCCCTTTTCGCCAGTGAGATGAGACGCCACTTCTTTATGAAAATAAAGACAGAGAAAGAAATATGGATGTACCCTTCACCGCGGCAGTAGAGGATAGAAGATCCGAAGTGCATGGAAAAGCATATCCATGTCTTTGTTCAAAAGTCATTTTGAGAATTTGGGGTTATGCCTTCCGTCACTGCTTGTCATAGTGTCCGTACTCTTATTACAACAAAACTGTCAAATATATACAGGGAATTATACATACAGGGACTCTATCGACAGCAAGGTCAGTAAGTGCGAGTTGTGCGACTACTGGATCTGTAAGTCTTCTCCTGTGCTATGGATGAGTCTAATTTTTCATTCCGTGAACAGTTTTTTTGAACTCGCAGACTTCCAGGACTCGCCTACGGCTCGGCCTAGAATTTTGTCTACTCGTCCAAAAAAACAGTATTTTCCGGACTTGTTACATAAATTACTATTATCCACTGATACCAAACCATTCAAACGCTTAACCTAAAATTTACAATCACCACTTCTGCACCAGTGGCCAACAGTCAACTTTTAGCCTCTAACAGGGTTCCTTGCAATGACCCGCGAAAACGTTGCCAGTGAATTTCAGTAAAATCGGAATGATGAAATATATTGGGCAGGATTGGGCAGTACTGTTCGGAATACCGGAACATCCTCGATTACTGATGAAAACCATGAAAACATGTTCCGAATTACAGCAATGTAGTTTTGATTTTATATTTCGGAACACAGATGTGTGCTGCTTGTTGTGATAAATAAGCCAATCCTGAAGCAAACAGACGATTCCTTTCTTTATAGTTGAAACTTCCGAGTAGCGCGATAGCTCAGTGGAATGTGTATTTGTCTTCCACGGCGGTGACTCGCGTTCAACTCTCTGTGAGGTGTCCATTTTTTGTTCATTTTTTTCTCATTATTTCACTCCAGTAATTTTTTGGAGAATACCGCCATATTCTTTTCGCGAAAAAGGTATAATTAAGACGAATTCGGTTGAAAGAAGTCTCCTTATTTATCATGCAGAAACGATATTGGTAATTTTGCACTTATCATGCGATGGGTTTTTTTTCGAAAATTTTTTTTGGTACTTACGTATTTTTGTCTGAAAAACACGAATTTGATATTGAAAATGTGAACAAACCACTATTTATCGAGATATTTCAAGAAAAAGTTCGAAATTTTGCCTTGTTTTCCCCCTTGTGTTGGATGCATTTACAGGTACTTGCTCTTTTTATTTTGTCATTGGACACTTCATATACTCATGATGTACTTCAATGACACATTTTAAGCTAGAAAATTAACAGGAAATATGATTTTTATGGTGAGTTTTTCCTATTTAGTGAGCAAGCATACCAGATGACCGCCATTTAATCGATGGGTAATCCAAATAGGAGATGTCAAATGTCAATAGATTGCTTTGGAATGACATCACACACGCCATTATTTCAAATGATATTCTTCCTTCTTTTCACTAAACATGGATAAATCACAAGAAAATCATATTTCTAGTTGACTCATATAATAAAAAATATGTGTCCAACATTGTGTGATATATATAAATTGTCCAATGATGGAAAAAGAAGGGCAAATTGTTCTTATTGATTCCCAAAGATAGGCGGAAAAGAAGGTGAAATTTGTAACTTTATAGTGAAATATCTCAATAAATAATGGTTTGTTCACATTTTCATTATCAAATTCGTGTTTTCCAGACAAAAATACGTAAGTACCAAAAAAAATTTTCGAAAAAAAATCCATCGCATGATAAGTGCAAAATTACCACGATATTTTTCCTCCTCATATCCTTCTGTTTTCACCAAGTTATTTTTCGAAAAATATACTTTCCAGGAAAAAGGTTCCATTTAGGCTGAGTTAAGTTAAAAGTAGAGTCCGGACACAAAACTGACAGCCGTTGGGGGTTTTTAATATTTTGTTTCATTTGGTTTGCCCACCTGACAATGTGACGAAACACCTTAGTCGTCCCGTCCGCTTTTTTTAATTATTTCGAATTTCTGTCAGTGTCACTTCGAAATTTATGACTGCCAAAAAAAAAAAAAAAAAAATACAATGCAGAAATTAGTGAGCGATATAGTCGAGGGCCTGGAAAGTGGTTATCACACATCTGTCACATTGTGTGATCTCACCAAGGCCTTCGACTGTGTCTCTCACGATATTTTGATCGAGAAACTCAACTACTATGGAGTCAGGGGGACACCTCTTTCATTGATAAAATCATACTTAGGAAACAGATGTCAATATGTCTGGGCAAATAATACCAGCTCTGAAACTATCCCTATCAAGCATGGGGTGCCCCAAGGCTCAGTTTTGGGTCCACTCCTGTTTTTAGTCTATATAAATGATCTCTGTGATTTTGTCTCACCCCAAAATAATTGCATTCTCTTTGCGGACGACACTACCTTGATAAATCGCCATAACTCCTACAATTCTCTGATAATTGATCAAGACAATCTCATGAGGAAAGCTGAAACATGGTTTTCAATGAATAAACTTTCTTTAAATGAACAGAAAACACAAAAACTAATTTTTTCAACAAACACAATGCTCCAAATTACTGCAAATGCAAATTTTCTGGGAATTGTACTTGATACTAAACTTTCATGGCGCAACCACATCGATTTTATTCAGAGGAAACTAGCCAGTGTGCTTTTTTTACTTAGACAACTCAGTAGGCTGACAAGTCTAGAAATTCAAAGAACGGCATACTTTTCACTTTTTCACACAGTCATCTCCTATGGCACTGTCCTATGGGGGGACTCCACTGATTCCATAAAAGTCTTTAGGCTCCAAAAAAAGGCAATAAGAATTTTATCCAAAGTTGGTCCCCGTGAACACTGTCGTCCTCTCTTCACGAAATTGGACATAATGCCACTCCCGGCAATCTTCATATTTAACACATTGATTCAAATTCATAGTCAAAAAGATTCTCTTTGTCTGCAGTCAGATATCCACCGCTATAACACCCGTAATGCATCAATGGTCAGACCTCAAAGGTTTAGACTTGATGTCAGCAAGAAAAACTCTCTAAATTATAATCTATATAATGTCCTTCCTGATACAGTGAGGTGCATGGCGATCGGTCAATTTAAGACTTACATCAAAGAGTTCCTAACAAAAAATTGTTTTTATAATATCGAAGAATATATATCTGCCAGTGAAGTGCTAGGGTGAAAACATTTTGTATTGTTTTGAATTATACTGTCTATATAAATACTTGTCTCTGTGTGTTAAATCTAAAGTAAAGTTTTTTAAAATCTTGTTTTTAAACTAACGAACCTGTGTCCTTGAAATTTTTAATCTGTATAATGTTTTACTGCTCATTTTATAATAATATAAGTTCCATTTAGTTCTACCGAAATCATATGACTTGTCACAAACATCTCAATTGTAACGTGATCAAATAAATCTACTCTACTCTACTCTACTGTAGATTTCTGCTGCTATTGCTGCTGTGACGAGTGTGAAAATGAAAAGGCAAATGGCATTTTAGGTTCGCGGAACATATGTAAAAGTAGGTTTATTTCCCTCGAAATTCCAAAAAATCTGCGGCAATTTCAAAATTAACAGATGCTTAATCTAGTTTCATTATATAAACTCAAAATTTTTTGTTTTATTCATTTTGTCAGAAAGGAATTGAAAATATCGAATTTGAATTTTAATGAGGTTAATACGATTCACGCCCATGAAACAAGGCAATTCAATTTATTGATAGCAAATAATTATAAGTCAAATTTTGGTAAACAATCAATATTCCATAATGGAATAATTTTGTATAACTCCTTACCTAATGAGTTGAAAAATATAGAAGCAGACAAATTTAAAATGAAAATAAAGAAATATCTGCTCAGTAAACTTTAATTCCATATCTACTGATAGTACTAATCATTCACAATTTGATTACTTGTAATGGATTATAATATTTTCATTTTGTGTATTATTATAATTTTTTTATGAAAAACAATAATTGTGCAATTATTATTGTTTCGATTTATAATGTTATATGTATGTTTTGTTGTATATATCTCTATTATAAACAATAATGTTTCTTGGGGTAATAAATAAGACAATAAAATAATTGTGCAATATAGCCATCTATTAGATAATCACCGAAACCATTGTTCTCGAGAAGTCGAGAAGAATTTCTGAAACAAAAGCGCATCAGTAAGTACACCATCTAATTATTTCCATCATTCCCCTTCCTTATGCACAAAAGATATCCGAAAAATATGCTGTCTAGGAAGAAGGATCATTGAGGCCGAATTAGGATAGACTGTTTAGAAAAAGTAATCTCCCTTGTTCTCTCAAGTGATTTTCCAAAAAATATTTCTCAAGTACGAAGCGAGAAATGAAAAAAATTCAAAGAGTTATTACGACTTTTTGACCATTTTCAGCGAAATGTCCACACAGCTGTTTTGGCGTTCTGACTAGTTCGGCAATTCAAGTGTCCACCGATCTGTTTCGTCGTTTTGACCGAAAATTCGGCGACTTGTCCATTCGACGAAGTATCATGGTTACCTAAAATAGGTCGAATTTTCATACCAATTTTCCACATTCATAAGGAAAAATTGAATATACAGGGTGATTCATGTTTGAATAATGACGTCCGCAAAGCTGAATTCAAAAATATATCGAATGTTAATCGTTGGTGATCTAGTCATGATTTGATATGTCAAGTGTACTGGCTGGCAACACTGAACCCTAGATTATAGGTTTAAAGACCTCTCGATCTATTGTGATTACCCTTATCTAGTTTTAGTCCTTTAACCCTAGACGTCTAATGAAGCCTAGGATTTTTCTGACGGTTGAAATTTCTACCTCAGTAGGCGTCAGATTGACCTATTCTAGGTGATTCAGCCTTTGGCGGAATAGTACGTTACATGAGCAAAGTATGTGTTCCGCGGTTTCGGTCGCGTTGTTGCAAAAGCGGCAAGTGTCAGTTCCCGCTAGACCCATCATTTTGACCTCAGAGGGCAGTGTCCTATGAAAAAGCCCTCTGATAAGCTTTAGCTCTGACTTGCTGAGGCTGAGTAGCTCTTTGGCTCGGGTTTGCGAATAGTTATTGATGAACCGTTTTTGCTTGTCGTTGACCTGGAGTTGCTCTCCAGTAGGAGGGCTTCTCAATTTCTTCCCATTTCCTGAGTTTTCCGATTAGGTGACATTTGTTTGTCCCACAGAAAGGCACAGGACCAAAAAATGCAGATTGCATTTTTTTTTGCAAGACGATCAGCTGCCTCATGCACTTTGATTCCTTCATGCCCTGGGACCCACATTATTGTGACTGTTATCCATTCCTAGTTGCATGATTGTTTCAAAGCAGTCCCATGTTAGAGGTAAAAACAAATGATTCTAGTTATTTTTCTGCGGCTTGGCTGTCTGAGCAGATAGGTTGATGGCATGCATTTCTGCTTGGAAGAATAGCCTACATCCGGGTTCATAAACACCAGCGCCTACCCCTTCTTCCATTTTCGAACCATCGGTGTACCAAACAAGCAACAAGGGACCCTCTATCTGTCCAGCTGAGGCTCAGCGGAACCGTACCTAAGGCGACTTCAAAGTCCGATGGTTTGGTTGCTGATTCCAAAATAATCCGAATCATAATTTTTGTCGGTTATTGAACCGAAAAAATACATATAATGATGAAGATGGAAAGCCCTAATTTCGAGTGACAACGGAAAATGAAAACTCCACCGCCCCGTGTGAGAGTCGAACTCACAACCTCTGGGTTACATGCCCAACGCTCTGCCAATTGAGCCAACGGGTCGTCCGTCGATCAATCGGCAGAGAGGTCAAGTTCTCATCACACACCAGCGGCAGAATCCTTCCAACTCCCGAAGTCACTCGAAATCATGCACTATACGAAGCATCGCTCGAAATTAGGGCTTTCCATCTTCATCATTTGTATCTTTTCGGTTCAGTACATCAAATCAAGAATTAATATTTTCAATTTTTAAATAAATCATGCGAAAGCAAAAATTTTCAATTTGTTGTATATTACCGACAAAACAATGAAAGTTGTAGCTTAATCACTTAATCACAAATCATGATAGCCCATGAGGAGTATTTTGATACCTGATGTAACAACACTGATTTGACACCCAGAAAGGAGTTAAACGGCATGATTTCAATATTGCAGAAAATATTCTGTTAACATCATTCTACGTTAATACAGAGCATTCGAAGGTCAAACCGCAATATGCATGACTGAATTTTACGATTCTTTAGCATCACGTATCACCCTGTGGATCGATATTTGCTCAATATCGAAGGAATTGAAGTGACGACTTTTCCCCTGTATCGATTTCATGAGAAAACTGTTCTATTTCATGAACATATCAGCTGATATTAAAAGGACGAATAAAAAAAATCCTCAACTTCCATATGTTGCTAGTGGGAAAATCTCGAAACCGTTTCGGTGAAACACATCAAGCAATCATCATATACAAAAAATCCGAAAATTTTTCAAATGATTGGGATAACTTCGAAAATATTTATTTTTGTAATGTGCCCGTGTTTCTCCCTGTTGATCTGAAAACACAATCTTAATGGGAAGAGTTAGCAAACCAATTCATTCCCAAACGATTTTCACATAACAATAAAGAGCAAACCGTTCCAGAATATCGGACTAGTATTTTTCATATTTGATTTCAAAATCGGGTGAAATATTCAAGTGGACTACTTCATTTGTCATGCAGTTTATTTCACTAGAACTGAACTGAATAACTGATTCAGTGCGTTTTTCGGAATACTTCAATTCGATAATTTCACTATTAAATTGGCCTTCATCATAATAGCATTAGTATAGTTTTTGAAATCTAGTATTTCTAGGTTGCTTCTTCTAAAGGTTTTGAAATTTCTGAATCTCTAGTTGTTATATTAAATTGAATATGTCTTTTATGAAATTCTATTACACTCAGTGATAAGAACACAATGGACATCCACGATTTGTTGCGCTCACAGAATTTTTGAATTGCCACAGTCATTCCAGTGTTTGCTATAATTCAGTGGTATTCTTTCAAGGTATTTAAACAGGTTTGACACAGGTATTTACCAATCAGATTATGTTGGTAGCACTAGTATGCAAAGTATGTTGACTGTGTGCTCTGTGGGACGCGCGGTGATTTAATTTCCGCTCAATTTAAAGTAATTATTAATATAAATCTACAGAAACAAATTGTCATTATAAAAAGTAACTTCGTGGTTATATCAGTGGAAAAGAACTTCCACTCAGATACAAGATCAAAATATTTTCAATAACTTCATAGCAGGAAGTGCATTTTTATCATAATTTGGTCAGAAAACATAATATTATTATGATTCATTGATCGATGCATCAATCCACCATCAATCAAACTTCTGATATTCTGTCAACACATTTTTTTAATCAAAATGCACGATTTTCAAGAAATCTTCAATGACTTCGAGAATTTCACAAATAGTTGGTGGCCATATATTATCTCTTTAATAATAAGTATAGTAAGTGCGATCAGGTGAGTTAAGAAAATATATTCTATTTCTATTAAGCAAGACAGTAAAAACATGTTCAAAAGAGTCAGAATAAGTTTAGAAAATTGATTTTGGAAATCACAATAGAGTCGAATACCATATTATATATACCGTAAGTTTTTCTTTTCATTATATTTCGGCTACTGGCCAAATTATATCCATGTTACATACCAATAATAATGATTGTATTGTAAATCGACAATATCCACAAAATATGTAGATACCTATTTAATTTTGCAATTATCATCATGCGATGGGATTTCCTTCGAAAATTTGTTTTGTAACTTACGTATTTTTGTCTGAAAAACACGAATTTGATGATGAAAATGTGAACAAACCTACTATGAAGTTACAGATTTCAACATTTGACATCTCGTATTTGGATTGATTATTCGCGATAGAAATAAATAAGCGTACACCGCCACCTATCGGACTTCTTGAAAACTGTCAAAGCGGCCTGTTTACTTTGTTTTCATTGGTTCATATTTATTTTTTGTTTGTGCTTATGGGTCATACCATCAGAACAAACCGCTCAGAAGTGTTCTAGTTGTTGCCGTTAGATGGGGCGACGTGTTATTTTTTATCGCGACTTGATTAAATGTGATGGCCGTCATCTTAGCCCAGTCGGCAGGTCGTGAAAAAGGGGTGTCACGATGAAAAATTCAGAAGTTGATGAAATTTAAGTATGTTATTTGTACATGTTAAGTGATGTCAAATCCAAGTTTTCGACCTCGAGGAGGTTGTGGAAAATTTTTGGCGGTCAAAAAACCTCGAAATTTTCGGACTTGTTTCAGTTTTTCACCTATAACTCGACAACGGTCAATCCTACGGGAAAAAACATGGTATACTAAATTAAAGAAGACAAAATTCCCCGTTGACTCACGAAAAAAAAAACTGAAATCGGAGAAGTAGTAAAGTTTTCACGAGCGATCGAAATATGGTGATTATTTCGAATTTTGGTAAATCCTGCTATAACCCCATTTTCAAAGTGCTGCATCTTTTTTATTATTCATCTCAGAAAAAAAATTATTCCTCTCAAAAAGTTCTGTATGTCCTAAAATCTGAAATACAATCATCCGATATCATTTTTTTTCAGTCTAATACACGGTGAGCCAAATATAAAGGTACTTTACTCTTGGGTACAATTCACATTTTTTGACACACCGCGTATATGACTGAATAATTTTTATATCTGATGATTGTATTTCAGATTATAGAATATGCAAAAATTTTTATGAAGAATAACTTTTTAGTGAAACATACTGTATTTAGGTAGAAATAAATCTTGAGAATTTATTATCCTTACACAAGCTGTTACTAATTCTGTTATATGGATATGGAAACCGTCAGAGATAAAACAAAGTTCAAAGGGAGGCAAAGTTGCGTAAACAGAAGTCCAACAAAATGCAGTTAATAAATAAAGAAAAAACCGCTTATTTTAGGAGATATACGTCAGAAAATCAATTTGATATTGTCATTCTGTATGACGTAGGTCATTAGAAGTACCAATGATTATGTTGAATTACTGTCCATTGAATAAAGTTGTTAATAACTAAATAATGGGTCACATTCTTTTAGTTTTCTTCATGTATATCTCCTGAGATAGTTGTATTTTTTAAGGTTTATTGTCTGCATTTTTTGGGGCTTATGATTACGTAACTTTGCATTCATTCAAACATAGATAGATAGATAGATAGAGATAGATTTATTTATTTCAAAATCATACAGTTTAAGAAAAAAACATCAAAATATGAGCGTAGGTAGGTATATTCACCAAGCAGCCTTAGGGTCTTCGGCTAAGAACATCTGGTTCCAGAAAAGGGAACGTCCCCAGCGTCATGTACTCCGCTACATCGTGTAAATTCCATTCCGAAGAAATTCTCTTTCTCCATGCCATAAGTGGATGCGACACTACTTCCGCACCCTTTGGTTTGGGAAAGAAGAAGGTTTGCAGCACGTACGCGAGGAATCCCTTCCTTACGCCCAACGTTTTGATTTTCACCAAACCAGATGCCACTGCATCAGAAATTTGTGAAGCGGGCGAAAAATTTCTGGTGAAAATGTATGGAGGAGACCCCGAGCGAGAAAACCTTGATGGACTGCGATACAAAATATTCACCAAGTCGGTGTCAAATGCCAAATTTCAACTTGCCAGGCTTCCACCTACTAGTGATGCTGGTAGGTATCATTCCTTCCGTACATACCAGCAGGTACAAACTTGATGGTTAGGAAACAACAAGATCCCTGCAGATTGGGGGTGGTCCCTAACCAAGCAAGGAGTGGTACCTATCACCACTACGAAGAATGCAGCCCCTGAGTCTCTCCTGAAGATTCTTGCCTGCAAGTGTGCCAGAGGCTGCAGCACCGCGGCCTGTAGTTGCAAGAAGGCAGGCCTGTGGTGCTCAGTTATTTGCAAGCACTGCTCCGGCCACGCCTGCGAGAACTCGCGCGTGCCAGAACTCAATGAGGACGACGAAGAGGAGGACGACGACCTCCTGGAAGATCTCATCGCCCAAGAGGAGCACGAACTTGAGGACGACGACGTCGAACCTCAGCCAAAAGGGTCTCGACTCAATCAATGTATGTATCTCCATTCATTATTATTCATTAGCGTTCTTATTTTTTACATGAAATATTTCATTGTTGCCTTTTTTCTCGCAGAACAGAACCTTCGAAGACTCGATATGAAGACTGATGCAGATACATTATGTATTATATAGTGTGTAGATATGTATATGTTTTTATGCTATACCTACTAATGAATTCTTCGTAAATATATTTTTTCACATAATTACATTTATTATCTATTGGGTATGACATTGTTCTCCGTCAACCATTATTATTTTCCTAGGTATCAATAAAATTGAGACAGAATCACAAGGTGGTCATGGGTCATTGGGATCATTTACCCCAAGTAAAAAGCATAGAATCAATAGGTGCGTTTTATTGGCAAGATTCTTTCACCGGAATGACCACTCTTGTCGTTTTATTGAACGAAATTCTGACACTGGTTCCAACTTTTCATTCCGTCTTCCCATACGGAATGGCAGGAAGAAGATTGTGGAGGGAGTGTATGAAATGGCGGTATTTCAGAAACTCTAACCTCAAAATCAGACTTAAAAATTGCCTAAAAGTGAACTCGCCTCAGGAAATATTTTGGAATTGTTCGCACATCCACCCAGAATACTTTCAAACACTACTGGACTCCTGAAATGACTTTTGAATGTTGATAAATCTTGATAAAGACTCAAACAAGTATAAAATCCTTTCAAGTGTTATGGGGTCAACTTCATCGATAAATATCAATGTATTTTGCCTTGTAATACCGCGATGCAAAGGAGGATAACAAGAAAGCGGGAACAACATCATCTATTATAAATTATAATTATTTAGGGATGAACAGCAAGATCCCGAAATTATATTATCATTATATAACCAAAAAATGATCAGCAGAATGTCACAAAACTCTCAAAATGATTCACATCGTTTTATTGGTCGTCAATTCTACTGCCACCAGTGGGAAACCAAAAAAACGCACCTGATAGGTAGCTATTTTCGAGAAACGCTAATTTTTTAAAAACAGTCCCAACAATTTCAGAAATTGAGCTGATTTCAAAATGTTAGCGCATTTTGAACTCTCTGATTGATACTCTACAAACTCTAAGGAGGGAGGTTGAAAAAAAAAGTAATTTTGTAAAGATACGGCACTTTGAAAATGGGGTGACGGCAGTTTTTACCAAAATTGGAAATAATCACCATACTTTGATCGCTCGTGAAAACTTTATTACAGCTCCGATTCCAGTTTTTATTTCGTGAGTCGACAGGAAATTTTGTCTTCTTTAATTTAGTATACCGTATTTTTTCCCGTAGGATTGACCGTTGTCGAGTTATAGGTGAAAAACTTAAACAAGTCCGAATATTTCGAGGTTTTTTGGCCGCCAAAAATTTTCCACAACCTCCTCGAGGTCGAAAACTTGGATTTGGCATCACTAAACATGTACAAACAACATACTAAAATTTCATTAACTTCTGAATTTTTCATCGCTAAAACTACCTGCCGACTGGACTATCTGGTATGTTCGTTCACTAAATATGAAAAACCTGACATAAAAAAAAATGTCGTGCTGAAATTTCTATTTAGAAAAGTGTCATTGAAGTACATCAGGAGTATACAGAGTGTCCGATGACAAAATGAGAAGATCAAGTCGCTGTAAATGTATCCAAGACAGGGGGAAAAAGAAGGCGAAATTTCGAACTCTTTCTTGAGATATATCGATAAATAGTGATTTGTTCACATTTTCCTTATCGAATTCGTGTTTTTCAGTCAAATATATGTAGGAAACACGAATATTTTTTCGAAAAAAACTCATGGCATGATATAAGTGCAAAATTATCTTTTATTTCATATATCAACAAACGGAAGGTATTCGAAGATTATATTCCAGTTTCTTGTTACTTAGATTTTTCCTTCTATAATGATAAAATGGTTGAAGATTTTTTGTAGTTCAATATCAAATGCTTCATATCAAATAGGTGAAGCGTGAAACTCATCGAGAATCAAATAATGCTGTTTTGATTTTTTGTCCCCTGTAGAATTTATGTCGGAGGCACTTTCTGTGAAAGCTCAAATAGAATTGAGGGAAAAAATGTGATTATTACTGGAGCATCCAGTGGAATTGGTCTAGAAACCGCTAAGGAATTATCAAAAAGAGGTAAGAATCAGTTATTTATACATCAAGGTAGTAAAGAATATCATCATTACCCAGGGACCAATATAACCCAAGGCTTCAGCCGAGGAGCATTAGGTCCCATGGTAATAATATTCTAATAATATGTTCATTTCAGTGAGATTTACTACATTCAATGATAAGTACATCTCAACATTTTATAAAAATATCTATTTCTTGTTAATACCGAGCATTCACTTTTTTTTAAATTAACAAATACTGCTACTCTTTTCCTAAAGTAAACTTATTATATATCATCATATTCAGAAAAAAATCTGGGACAAAGAATAATTGACAGTTGCTGAAGGTACAGTTGAAATTAGAAAAAATAATGATCAGAACCCACTCATATTAAATGATGAGCCATTGCATTTGCTTTTTGGTTTTTCAAAATCGGATAGTAAATAGCGGAACACTCGCTGCTCTCTCTACAAGCTACTATACTTGGTCAAATTAGGTATTTGATATTTGACGTTCCATCAGTTCAATGAATAAATAGAAAAAATAATATTAACACCCAGTATATTATTCAGAATATGACCAGGACTGCGTTCATAAACTTACTCCTGTGAGTAGTGATAGTATGGTCACCTTATCTGATGAATTATATCGTTGAAGGTAACTCAGAGTAGCGGTTCAAAAACTCTTACGTGAAGGTATGGTATGCAAGATAACAATGCCAAGTGTTATAAAACACAGGTTTTTTTGGTTTGGTTTAATGAGGATAATTATATCATCATGATACGGAATACCAGATATGGAATATATTCGAATACTACTATACTTTGTCTTCAAACCCAACTATCAATAAAAACAGTGTCCCTGCCAGTTTATACTACACTGAAGACTACATTATCCGTAATGATTTGGGTATTACATAAAATTGATTATATATTGATTCAAGACATAAACTCCGATGAACAAAACTCGACAACTGTCAGAGTACATCATTACCACATCATTACTCTTCAATCCAGGGTAAGCAGGGCGTACGTAAACCTGGTGGTGCACTGGTTTTGCACCAGTTTTGCACCCGCACTACGTTAGTTCTCTCCAAAATGTGAACGGGTGCATCCCCAATGGAATACGAAATAATATTATGATAAAATTATTGTTGAAGGGTAAATCGGATAAGTTGGTTTGTCTTTGTTTATAACTTGTCCGCATCCTGAAATTCTTTCTTAACTTCAAAATACTTTCAACAAAATTATGAATTCTGGGAAGTAATCTCTATTTTCTTGAAACCTCCAACTATTCATCACTATTTGATGACGATAATTAAATTGCCACTAACAATTTGGTTTTCAAACTATTCATATTCAATGTTTCCGCCATTTTCAAAACTGCACTGACTTCGCACGACCTATTAAAGCTCGTGCGAGAATTGTTGCACTGAGTTCTAAACTATGTGAACCAGTTTTCCAATGGAATTCAAAACTCGACACCAGTTTTACCAATGGAATACAAAATAGGCACTCAGAGAACCAGTTTTACCAATGGAATTCGCTTTGAGTAAGTTTCTGAACGATTGTGAATGCATACTCTAAACTGCTAGATTCAGTTTATGAACGCTTTGGAGTAAGCAATCCTTACTCAGAGATGCTCAGAGTAAGTTATGAACGCACCCCAGAACTACAGAAATAACAAATATCAAATGATTGGATCAATATTTGGTAGTTGTATTTTTGATGTATAAACCACATTTATATTTTGATAGGGGCTCACTTAATATTGGCAGTAAGGAATGCTGAGAAGGGAGCAAAGGCAATAGAAGAAATAAAGGCAATCAACAGTAAAGCAAACGTATTGGTGAAGCTATTGGATATGTCTGATTTTGGTAATATTCGTACTTTTGTTGATCAGATCAAAGATGAATATAACAAAATTGACATTTTAATTAATAATGCTGGAACAATCTCGGATTCCCATACAATAACACAGGATGGAAATGAACTTACTTTCGTAACAAATTATTTGGGTGAGTTATATTTTTTTATTGGAGAATACCACATACTGAATTCATGGTATCTAGAGAATTTAAAAAAAATGTATTCAACTTTCAGCAGATGGTAGATACATTTCTATATCATATCTAAAATTTTTCCATGTTTTTCTCACGATCGAGTTGAAAATACCGGGTGTCCCTGAAAGGTCTGAACAAAATCTTTGCGCATATGCCTGATGTCAGAATAAGCCGACTTAAAACAACTTACCTCAGTCGAAATTGCTCCGTCTCCGAGATACAGGGTGGTCAAGTTAAAAAATTAAAATCGACAAGTACACTCCAAGAGAGTATTTTCAGAAATCCATTCTTGCGCGGCTAATTCATTGTCCAAATTACATCCACGAAGGTAACAGCAACAATTTTTTATTCAGAATAATTTAAATATTCCGGTGCAGCATCGAACACTAAAACAGAGATATCTAGAAATCGGCTATAGACTGTTGGCCCGCGACACAGGGTTTATCGATGTTCTAAGTCGGTATGCCATTTAAGGGACCCACTCGCTCAGTTCGAGTTAACAATAAGAAGTGCCTCGGAGAGTCGCAACCCAGTCCTTGCCCCGGCCCTGACCTCACCTTTCGGTTGGAAAAAAGTTCAAAATTTTGTTTAAGAAGAAGCTCGGCAATGAAGTGTAATGATCTTATCTCACGACAATTGGGGCGCTTGTCGGTTTCCATACGCCTAGGTCACTCCCCAAAGGCGGCATACGAACCGGAAGAGGGAATTTTTCAGTGTCATAGTCGATGATCGAAGAATGTATGCCCTTTGGCAAAACAATGAATTCGGACCCATTAATCAGTTTCCCGACATTTGCATACGATTCCGGAGAGGGGAGCTCGACTTATTCGAACATCATTTTACTGAATATCCTTCAAATAATCGATAATCGAAGAAATGTTCAAATTTTGACCATGGTTTGTGGACCACACAGTATATATGAGATGATGGTTTGCATACAATTGGTGTTTCACCATAAATATCTCCCATTGTAACTTAGTTGTTTCTGAACCGATTTTGAAATTTCAAAAACCAATTAAAATGATTTTCCTAAGAGATTTTTCATTGTTATCAAATTCACAGGCTGTTCATAACAAATGAACTATAGTTGTTGTTTTTTTTTCTGGAACACTATATTTTATCTGACTCACTATCGAGTTGAGATTATCATGACGAATACAGCTCTACAGCATCTAGCGATATCATTTACACGCAGCACTCTTATAGCGATCATGCGCCAAATTGTTAAATTATGCCAGAAATATGAATCCCGGGTTTGAAGTATTTCCTTTTTTTTTTGCTGAAACAATTTTCATATCTGAACAATGATTTGCTGCGGCAGCCGGGTAGAGTGTAGCACGTAATGATTTAGTAGGCATTCAATAATGTTTTTTCCTTTTGTCGGAGATCCGATATTTAAATATCTCAAAAACCATTTACTTTTGTATAATGTATATTACAGATTTATTCACTTCTTACTGCCTCCCCTACCAGTGGTATGAATCGGATTACCAGTAACCCTGTATATAAGTGCAGCGTGTGAATCTTATCGCTAAACGCCAGTCAACTATACTGGGTTTGATGAAGTTATGTCATTGTCAGTTACATAAAAAATAATGAAGGGGGCTGGGCCCTTGATACTTTTTTTGAGTACGATTTCAATTGGTACCTTGGTGAAGCTCTTTCAGCAGAGGTTGGTGATATCATAAAATCTGAGACTTCAACTGAGAAAGTATCAGGTATATCTTTCGATCATGCCAAGATTTTTCAATAATCATTCGTACTAACAGGTACTGATGACAACTCTGGAGAATCATCTTCAGACAGCGAGAGCGAAGATAACTCTGAAGATAATGATAGAGAGGACGACGTATAATTTAAAAAACAAAAATGTAGATTAAAGTTCAGGATACAGACCCCATACTATACCCAGAACATTCAACAAATAAAATGTACATTCTTTATATATTTTTCAGACGCCAGTATTATGATAAGCAGTCCCATAAGCCCCAGGCAGAATTTCAATTCAATTTATTGTGAGTTTCGATCATGAGCAATAATCCACCCCTCTTCTCCCTGTACGATCCCTCTTGATCATCCTGCGAGTATCTTGTTGTCAATTTTTTTTATTATCTTTTTAAAGCCCTGTTCTTCAAATTGAAATCACATGAAATATTTCTTGGTACTAAACCTCTCACACATGTAATATTGTTGAGCTGTAAATTTCTGATGAATAAATACAAATATATCTGCAATTTGCGTATTTGAATATCCCCATCACTCCCAGGAAGTTAATCTTTGGCCCGGTTTCATGTAAAGTGAGATTATGAGACTTCCCCCGATTATCTAGTTCGCTTTCGGTGCACCTCTGGCCTGCAGTGCGGGGCGTTGCGCCGGACCGAGGCACGCGCGGGTTTGTCCGATTATTACAACGTATGCTCACATTGAATTCGTATGCAAATAGCATCCAGTTATAAAGAATATCCTAGTAAATCGGTCTAGAGATTTGCATACGAACTTAAATCATCGATTATTTGAAAGATGTCTAGTCAATTGATGTTCGAATAAGTCGAGCTCCCCTCTCCGGAATCGTATGCAAATGTCGGGAAACTGATTAATGGGTCAGAATTCATTGTTTCGCCAAAGGGCATACAAAAATTGCCACTTCCGGTTCGTATGCCGCCCATGAGGACTGACCTAGGCGTATGCAAACCAGCAAGCGCCCCAATTTTCGTGAGATAAGATCATTGCACTTCATTGCCGAGCTTCTTCTTAAACAAAATTTTGTACTTTTTTCCAACCGAAAGGTGAGGTCAGGGCCGGGGCAAGGACTGGGTTGCGACTCTCCGAGGCACTCCTTCCTGTTATCTTGGACTAAGTGAGTGGGTCCCTTAAATGGCATACCGACTTAGAACATCGATAAACCCTGTGTCGCGGGCCAACAGTCTACTACTTTATTAGCGGATTTCTACAAGAGTACCTTTTTTGTCTAAAAATGTTCAAACATTTCCCTAAAGAAAAAAGAAACAAACCACACTGAGAAAAAAGTTATGGCCATTCTAAACCATGAGAAATAGTTGCGTTATTTGTTCCATGTTTGTTCCATTCTGGTAAGGGTGGTGGGAACAAAATGACGTTTACAAATAAAACGAGAAACTTCATGACCTCGCATGAGAAAATTGACATATTATAGATGATAAAGGTTATATTTATATATTCGGGCTCCGAATTATTTCAATATCATAATACTAGATTTAAGAATCAAGAAAATGAATAAAATAAATCGATGCATATTTGGAGCAGTGCTTGTGGTGCTTGGAGGAAGTTCTCTGAGATCGAGAGAATTCATTTCATCTGTGAATGAAGATATAAAACCTGTATTACTTGAGAGAATCATAAACTTCTGAACCTCACGATGAAAATGTCTTCTGCTCTCATCAAGTTTTTCGTCAATCTGATTTCATTTTTTGACAACTGTCAACAGTCATTCCGAGTCATTCCTTGTAGTGAGACGGAATGAAAAGTAGCAACCGGAATCGGTAAAGTTGCGAATAAAACGACACGTCAAAGTTATTCCGGTGGCGGAATCGGATAAATAAAACGCAACTATAGTGCATTTGTGAGCGTCCTCTAAAGGCCACAGTGAAGAGGTGTTCATAATGGGGTTTCACATCCCAAAAAAACCTTGGAAACCAATTCTTGAAGTAATTTGTTTGAAAATGTTCATAAAATCTGAAAAATTCGATTTTTGTTCTTCAACTTCACCACCCTGTATCTCAGAAACGGAGCAATTTTGGACTTAGGTGAGTTGCTTCAAATTGGCTTATTTTGACCTCAGGAATATATGCTGAGATTTTTCACAGACCTTTCAGGAGCACCCTGTATATTTACGAAAAAATTTGATATTGGAGGATTTAACAGCACCTATATTGATTTTTTTTTTAATTTTGACATAATGATTGAAAAGAGTGTTCGGTACCCCTATTTGGAATGTTCTGCAATTGAAAGACCAAATTCTGGCTTACTGATATAAAAAATTCTAAAATTGTTCTATCCGTCATTCGGTTGCCCCCTTACGAGCAATCCTTAGAAGTCTTCGAGAGTCTTGTGCGAGCAAGGAATGACGGGGGCCTTACCTTTTAACGTGTGATCCAAATACTTTCTTGGGCCATCAGAAAAATTTCTGCAGTCGTGGGAATTGAACCCACGACCGGCAAGCGAATGCGGATTAGAATACTGACACTCTGTCCGCACGGCTACTTGGCCCTGCCAGTTGTTGAAGCCTCTTCAGGGAAAGATTAAAACATTGATCACTTATTATTAAAAGTTGAACCAGAGCGTTTTCTTTCAGCGTGGTGAGAAGTGCCGAGAGTGACTTTCGCAATGTTATAATAATAGAAGATGTATGGTGAAACCTGAAATTTGTTGAAAAATGTTCAGTATATCGTTGAACAAATGAACTCCAATTTATAGTCATTTTCATCATATTCTGTGCCTTATTTTGCTAAATTTTTATTTTGGTATTATGATAATCATATATATTACTTCTTCAAAATTCTACAACCAAATCAAAACAAAAGTGCATCACAAGCGAAACTCAACAAAACGTAAACAGACTGCGGATTCAACTAAATATCAGATTTTTCGGCCAATTCTTAAGCCGCTATCCATTATTTTGAATTAATTCTTTCGTAGATGGATCATTGGTGTTTCTTAGTTAGTTCCACATGAAACAATTAATTGAACAGTTATTTCGAAACTTCCTATTGATATAAAGAGTATCCACTTATTTAGGAAATAGGAATCATTAAATGTAATAGTAAGAATATACTACAGGCATTTTTATAAGCCGAGTTATAATAGTGAAATTAGAAAGTAATAGTCTTCTTTGCCGTGTGTTGTTGTTCATGTTGATTTTATTTCAACATTCTGGAGTTATCCAGAAACAGAATCAAAATGTAATTTCATATAATAAAAAATATAGAAAAGTCATACAGTTCTTAATGATATCGGAAAAATCCATATTTCTGACTGACTAAAACGACATTGGTCCTTCGAGCCTATAAAAGAGTCCTGTGGAGCGAAATATCGACGAAATTACGTGAAAATCCACAAATTATGGAAACCCAATCATCTGACAAGTGAGAGAAGCTAAAATAAATGAAAATGAGGAAAGGTAATCTCTAAATTCAAGTTCAATCGATGTTTGATGCGGAAGGACAATTTGTATCCAGAAGTTGATGTAATAGACGTTGAACAAGGTCCGACTATACATTATAAGGTTATTCGTGGCGGATTGGATAGAAATTATTCCTCAATATTCCCAATATACCTAAAAATATCGGAACTATCTCGAAAAAAACTGAAGAAAGAAAGAATACATCAGAATACTGTGCTTATCCCTTGGGAATATTTTGAAAACAGCAGTTTCTCCCAGACAAGAGGACACGTGGTCTCGCCACGTAGCCGGAGATACTTCCCTATGTTCGATCGAAAAAGAAGAATGGATGACTTTCTATATTAATTTGAGAAAATTTCTTTGTATTGTGAACATGACCTGTCTTTTGTCGACAATAACTTAAGAATATCACGCTCATCTCTACAATCCTCAAGTAGTACTGAAATAATTCTGCCAAAAGTTACCGGACACTCTGTAACTTCGATGGAGAGAAGTGGTGATACAGAAGAGAGGAAATGTCAACCTATAAGATTTCTCGGTTTGGCTTTCAGAAATTGCCTCTGCATTATGCTGTGCTCCCTTTATAACGTATAGAACATTTATTCTTTATCAAAATGAATCTCGAACAGATAGAAAATGCGTTTCATAAATTTTCTGTTTCTTATAAAGGCCTGTAGATTCAGCTGAAGAAGAGATTCAAGTTATAAGGTTGGTGAAAGAAGTAATCGAGCATCAATATTGAAGGCCAAGGCCCAGACGCGGCTAGCTAGCTAGTTTTTCGCCGAGGTGTATATTACATTTTTTCGTCGACCTCGAACATTTATATTCACACCAAATAATTAATTTGACATCAAAAAATGACGCTCTTGCACCGTGCCGTATCATAGTGACGAAAAGTACGTACCATCAAAAATAGTCGATTTTTCCTCGTACCTATAATGTCATTTTTTGTAGAGGTCGACGAAATAGAATGTGTTAATGCCATAGATAGCGAAAATTGATTTCTCAGACGAAAACAGTGATGTGTTCTGAAAGGTGTCTAGTAGTAAAAAAATATTAAATAATTTTTGCCATGTGTGACGGTATGATTTATGTCTCCAATGATATTATTGCAGGTCCATTTTTGTTGACACATTTGCTTCTACCGCTTCTGAATAAATCTGATGACAATGGGAGAGTGATAAACGTATCGGCCCTGGCACACTATAATGGCAAGCTGAAACTGGAAACTATCAATTCGGCAAATAATTTCAACAATCATACTGCTTTTGCAGAGAGTAAACTTGCTCTCACAATATTCACCAAGCATATGGCTCGTTTATTCAAAGGTAAGTTTAATAAAATTATAACTACTCATTTGAAACCTGGATACACTGAATGAACTCGTGGTGTTTATATTACCCGTTATCCTTCATTCTCACGTAACTTACGTACACTTGTCATATAGTGTGCTCCTAGGTGGAGTGAATTTTTATCACAGTCCCTTGAATACAACAAAGGACATAATATTTCAAGGAAGAATGCGACAACGGTAATGTATATTATTTTCACTTGTACGAGGGATAATTTTCGAAATATTCCCGGAAAGTAATTCGACTTCGTGTGGTATTCGGTAAGAAAATCTCACAGCAGATTGTGTTTGGAGATTAAATAATTTTAGAATTTATTTTGTCGATTTATACCCAATTGAAGTGGCACAAAATCACTATTTTAGGAGGTCAAAATATTATTCTGTCATTCGAACGTCATGAAAAAATTTCCGATGTCACGCTGGTGGGTACCCACGAGAAAATAAATTTAACTGTATTAAAATCACTGGTGTGGAATTTTCCTAATAATTCACGTATTAGGCAATTCATTGAAGAGGAGAAGAAAAACAGAGCAGTACTAGTGTTTGGAATTAGAGTGTCTAGAAGTATTTATCAAAGATTTTCATACTATATACAAGTTACTATTGAAGTATTATTCTGATCTCCTTTGAAGAGATGGAGAAATTGCTTTGTTCATCGTACCCAAAATCTGTTTGGTCATCATTGGAGCTATTAATTCTCCACAATTCCCCCCATGCACATCAAAAGCTTTATGCACTCCAGGAATGTCGTCGATATTTGGAGTTCCAATTATTAAGACATCATGCATGAGTGTTATGGCACTGAGATAGATCGTATTGATTTGAGGAGTCGTGCTTTTTGTTTCTTGGTAGAATTTTCTGATGTGGTTCACAAGAAACCCTTTTACTTTTGGGTTTGAAGTCTTTATATTTTTTATAATAAACTCTGTAGAAGCTGTTCAAATATATCGAATTAAGTGTCACATCGTGGTTGTGTCCAATCGGTGAATTTAAAAAAAAGTTATTCTCAAAATTGCTACAAATATTCGATTTTGTTCATAGGAGTTAAAGGTTGGGCATTAATTTATCTAAGAAATTGAAAATTCTAGCATGAAATGAACATTCGAGCCATCTAGAGGCCAAACGATGCATATTTGTACATGAGATGTGTGCACGTAATTTTTTTAAATCTATCGTGATAAACATTAACTTGTTGGTAAGGATTTGTATTGCACATTCAACCAGTAGGTTACTTCATTTTTGAGCTGTAATCGTTGCCAATTAGGACCAGTTTATGGGCTCAAAATTTGAAAAGTATCATTAGGGAATTTCCATATACAATTTTCAACATTCTAAAATATAGAGTGACCGCAGAAACATCTATCTGTACCAAGTTCCTTATTGTGACCTTCAAAAGAAAGAATTTTGTGGCGACATCTGTAATAAAATGTCAATTTTTTTCAGATACCAAAGTAACATTCAACTCAGTGAGTCCGGGTTTAGTGCGAGATACCGGACACATTGCGAAATACTCGTCACTGGGTAATTCCTTTCTCACGAAATTATCTGTTTATCCCTGGGTATGGTTGTTTTTGAAAACACCTAAGCAAGGATGTCAGTCAATCGTATATTTGGCAGTAGAACCAACATTGCATAATGTTTCTGGATATTATTTTAGGTAGGTACTTAACAATGATTCAGCACCAAATTGTATCAAGATTATAAACCTCAATGATGAGTGATGACTGGTTTGAAAAATGTTAACAAGAATATATCCATATATTTTTTATTTTAGTGATTGTGAAATAAAAGATCCTTCCAATGCAGTTAATGATGCCAAATTAGCAGAAGCTCTTTATACAAAATCTTGCAAACTAGTAAACATTGACCCAGAGAGTATCATTATTTCTGAAAAAGAGCAAGTAAAACAATGAAATTCGCCAGAATCAATCATAGAATAGTTTCAACACCTCAAAATCTGGGAACGCTGATTAAGGCAAGCTGTTCAACCTAGTCCACTTCTCACTGGTCATCCATAACCATTTGGCACTACCTCCATCCGTTGCAGCTGGACCAACGTTACTCTCTTCATAATTACTGAAACAATGGAGGAAATTCTGGCACTCTTTGAAAATTCATTTTTAGACGTTTTTTGTGCAACAAAATTCTATTGAATAAAATTGATTTATACTCAAATCATTTTTCAATTTTCCAATCCTAAAAAAATCTTTTTCAGGTATGAGGAGTTGATTTATTCTTCTTCTGATAGTTATAATTCATTTGAAATTGAAATGACTACATTGAAACATATTTAAAAATGTTATTATTTTATCATTGGAGGAGTATGATAGCACAAATAAATACAAAGTCGGACATGGAAAAAGTAACTTTTTTTGTTCGATTATAATCAACATAGTTATTTCTTATACAAGGGTCGACCTCGAGCTAAGATCTGATATTTTTTCCGTTTATAATACAGTATTTTTTTGTGAAGGGAAAAACGACGAGTCATTATTGAAAATATATAACAAATAACAAAAACAGAAAATTATCCATGTGAAATTTCAAGTTTCCAACGCTAGGCTGCTGTACTTATAGCAACAATTAGACCTGCGTTGCTAAGGAAACCTTTTAAAGTAATCAAACATCTGTCAGTTTAATAATCATGTGATTTCATTTGAAATTTGCGAACTTAGTGGTTATTAGTAATGGAAGATGAAGAAGACATGCATTTCTTTCTCGGAGACGGTGTTATTGGCTTATTTTGCGGCACTGGCACAACATCAGAAGCCATCAACAGTATATACACTCACCGGCAAAAAAAACGGCCAGCAAACAACTTGATCGCCCTGTAACTTTTTCAATTCTTGTCCGGTTCTGATGAAATTTCGACCAGATCATAGATTTATGACTCGGAGTGTTAGCCTGAATTTTAATTCTTAAAATGAACTGATGGTTAGATTATACAGGGAAAAAAGTATTTAATGAAATTTTGAATTGACTCGGCCGTTACTTGATGGGAATCCATGGCAAACGTCAAAACTTCACAAACGATAAGATTTCTACAAAATTCTCAAACACACAACATGTTTCGCTAACACAGTAGCTTCGTCAGCTGATATACTGGTACAATGAACTAAACCAACCTTGGCTTGCTCAACTTTTATATATCCTACTTTCCCAACTGAAAGATTAGTTACCTGTGGACAGATTCGATAAATCTTCATTTTTGGAAATTAGGAACAATACATTAAAATACGGTGTACCGGATCAACTTGAAAGGGTTGATAGCAAATACATATTATTATACCTACTGAAAAAACAAATTCAACAGTCATTCCTTTATTTTCTACGTGTAGAATTTCGAGATTATCATCAAAACTATGGTTTTCTTCTAATATCTGGTTAGCGTATGTTGAATTTGTTTTCTTTTTCAAAAAATTCATCTGATGTTCATGAATGCGTTGATTTAACGTACGACCTGTCTGACCGATATATACCTTAGGACAAGACCCACAGTTGAGTTTGTGTTAATGAAAAGTGACATTTTATAACCTGTCGACTTTTTGCTCGTTACATAAAAATAGTAATTTGTTAGACAAGGGAAAAAAGTAAGTATTAGATTTTAGCTCGAGGTTGTCTCCCGGCACGTATCCAGCTGTAAATTCCGACTGTCATCTGATAATGAAATGACATAATGTCTAAAATGCATATAAAAACATTGTATATTATTGAACAACATCCGTGCCACAAAATAGAATACAATTTATTCCATCAGAGACCAATTAAATGGTAGATCTCAAAACCATAGCTGTGCCATACCTCAAGTTGAGTCAAATTCTCGGCACAACCACAACGATTTTTTTGCTTTCGTCATTCCGGAGGAAATTTCATTACCAAACATGAATTTCGATAGTGAAGTTCGTGAAATTTAGTCAATTTTCATTGCGGATATTTTCTCAACATCATGATTAACTTTAATGAAACAAAATTAACTGAAAATGTAAAATTTCAATGAGCAGGCGCTCAAAATCATTCTAAATTTTTTCGGACATTAGAATGAAAAAATACACTTCTCGAAAACGGTTCGTTTCACGGCATTCTAGCAAGAATAACTTTTTCATGTAAAAGTATTTGAAGAATCATATTCTGGTACTACAAATGAGATGAATCTGGAGACAAAAAAACTTCGGGCATTTTTATAGGAACATTTCTTTTTAATTTTATCTGTAGAATTACTTCCCGAAGTATACGAAAGTTATTCTGGGATACCCTGTATTCACGATGGTGAGAGAAAAAATAGAGATCTGTATAGGAAATAAAACATTAACAACTTCTTATTTGTAGTACACTCAAACTGATTCTCAATTGAAAGTTTCAAGGGCTGTCAAGGAATTATGTTGTGACTTTTCAACTTTTCTAGTGACTTCAATGTTTCTATATTCTATAATTTTATTCCTTACCTGAAATATTTACCATTAATTTTTTCAACATTTTTATCGACAGCCAAATATATCACTGTTTGCGCTCCTTGTCTGGGACTCTTTACAAAAGGCCATATAAATGGTTTCAGGAATATTGCTGTCAACCAACTATTGTAAAAACTCATATGTCTAGTTATTTCAGTGTCCACTATTCCAGGGTGCACAGAATTTGCTGTTACTCCTGTACCTGGAGGTATATGATAATAATAATAATAATAATAATAGTTTATTTCACAAATATATAGTATTTTATAGGTAACATTTAGATTTGTCAGTTCGTGAGTGAACCAAAAGTACTACGTACTTGTATGTTTAGTTAAGTTTGTACCTACTAGTCACTGGATGGTATTAGTCAGATAAGAGTTCGGACACAGCTGAACTTCTGTCCTTTTCTATTTTTTATATTACAATGGTTTAAGTGAATAAAAGAATAAGAGATATATTCTGCTCTTTGTCTTTTCAATTTCCCTAGTAGCGCCTGATTGTCAGATACGATTTTAGAGGTTAGATTTTGCGTCAAATCTACTGATAATTTCCGAATTTGGTCGGTATTGAAAACGCCATTCAATGATATTATACCATGTTGAGATTTACTTGATTTCCTCAGTTTCATTCTCAAATTTTCAGTTTCATTATACATAGTTTTGCAATCAATTCCTTTAACATGTTTCGCATTTCTCGTGATGATAATATTGGAATTTTTTTCAATAGCCTGTTTTGTAAATCAATGGAACAACGGATCGTATAAATCTTCTGTTTAAAATGGGCCTAAAATACAGTTTTATTAAAATCTGCTGTTATTAGAAGTACATTTTAATTAATGTACTCATCTCACAAATGTTGCATGTCTTCAAATTAATTTTCCATCCAGGCCGTTTTATTCATTCCTGCCATAATGGAATGGTTGATATTTCCTTTGTAAAATTAAAGAAATAAAATCAATATTTCAATTCTAACGTTCATAAAATTTATTGTCAAATTCAAACAATTTTGAATGGAAAAGCGCGGAAGGACTATGATGCTATTGTCACAATGCAAGGTGTGCATAGTGGAAGGAGAAGATGGTGTGCCTATGCGCATATTATGTGACGTCATCTGGGATACCAATATCAGCTGCTAGTCACAGACAGATACCGTTGCCATCGGGCGTGCGCAATGAATTCAATCATTTTTATTGAAATTTCTATAAGTTTCTTGATCTGTTTAGAAATAATTCAATTTATATAAACAGGTTCCTATTCCTTCGATTTTACTATTTCATTGATTCTGGAAATTGTGATCTTGAGGTAATTCGCAATGGCAAATAGCAAATACATAGGAATTATCATGCATTGCCATTCCCATCTGAATGATCCACTACTGTGTCGATTCTGACAGATTAAAATTCAGCAGTTAACGACGTTGACGTTGCTTCTGCTCCGACATCGACAATCTTAGGAGTATCAATTTTTGCCGTTTAGTTATTCAAATCTTTGCTGCAATTTATATTTTGTGAGAAATTGAGAGTTTTGAATTAATTTTCAATTATTTCTGACTTTATATTCGGAAGATGTTCTGTAGGAATGACATCTTGTTTCAAATATTTGTGATTTTTTGGAGGTGTGTAATTCAAGAACCGTATACTTTCGCACTTGTTTGGAAACATTTTGCATGGAAATGTTTTGAAGAAATATGTGCTGTAATATGAATGTGATGATAATATGATAGGTGAATACTTTGGAATGAGGATATAAGGAATATAAGGTAGGTACCATTATTTGAGTTTATATTCTGTCGGCAGCAAGCTCCCATCTTTCCATTAGGTCTCCATTCTTGGAAAAGCAGAAAAATTCAATATCTGTGCCTTTTGTATGTTAGTTGGAATTTCCATAACCATAAACGAAACAAGTAGGCATTTCGAAATTATTTCATTCAATTTTAGTACTTATATAATATCAGAAGTTCGAGACATCAATCACGAAAACAAATAATATCAATGACAGTTATAATATCCCAGCTGACGTCCTGCGCAGAACAAGACGAGTTTGAGCTTTCTGTTGAGCACACCATTTTCTCCTTCCACTATGCAAGGTGTGTAACTTGAAAAATCTAAACATTCAAAACACTAACAGTTGTCATTTTTGTGTCCGAACTCTCGATATCTAACTAATACCATCCAGTGACTCTAGTACCTACATATCATTTATTGCTCTAATATAATTCTTGAAGAACAGTTTGATAGTAGAGAAATATAAGAGATGACAATAATAATACTAATAGATATTTACCATACAACTATCGTGATAATAATATTACAACATGTTGAAACTCAGATAATGTTAAGATCTGAAATGATGTTTTGTTTTTTTAAATCATACCTTCTAACCGTTCTGCTAGTTCCTTGGTGAACAGAATATTTGCCAATTTGCTCTGGGCATATGCTTCGGAGCCATCATATCTCTTGTCACTATTCAGGTCCTCTTTATTTATTTTACCTCTTTTATGTGCCACACTTGCAACATTTATTATTCTACTAGGGGCTGAATTCTAGAGAAACACAATTTGGTAGTTTATAGATGAGGAATCATAATTGAGAAGTTACCTTCAATAAATCCAATAACAAATTGGTCAGAAGAAAGTGACCCATGTGATTCACACCCAACTGCATTTCAAAACCATCTTTAGTCTTTGAATTAGGAGTTCTCATTACTCCTGCATTGTTAATCAACACATCCAACCTTTTTTGTTCAGATTTAAATTTTTTGACAAACTCTCTTATCGATTCTAATGATGCCAGATCACATTTCCGGCAGTAAACATATTTATTTTTCGTATCCAATACAATTTCTTCTCTAGCCTACAACCTGACAATGCTGTTATCAAAAGATTATGGCATCGATTAGGGCACTTGTGATCAAGTCGACAATTACAATGACAAAGGTAGGTACCATAGTCTAGAGTTCTTAAATGTACTTATTGACACTGCTGATTTTGACGTTTTTTTGTATATCAGAGTACGGACACTATGACAAGCACTGACAATCAGACATAACCACAAATAAGTTGATGAAAAAAGCGGACGTACATGACATGAATTCCAAAGGTTTGAAAAATTGAGAGAATTAGGAGAAAGATGCAAGTTTGTGCAGTTTCCAACTGTGAGAACACGGGAAATCAATTCACTCTATTCGAATTTTTATCGGATAACTTAATTCCACAAAAATGGAAACAGAATGTGATGCAGCCGACATGGAATATAGGTTCAGGCCACAAAATTTGCGAGGTATTTAAATTTCTTGGTATGAAGTTGAAGAATAGGATCGTATTGAGGGAAAGAGCCGAACCCACAATTTATAAACTGAGCGAGTATCAAAAAGAACTTTATTCCAATTTAGACTCTGGTTTTTGCTTGTGATGGCATGATGGAGCAGAGATCACAATAGCCACTATGGAGATCATGGTCGATAATCTGATGATGAAATAGCTATTGATGTATCTATATCAAAGAGTTGAATATATTGTTCCTGTATCACTTCTTCAAAGTTGAAATCCCAAGTCTGAATGTGCATGTTCGTGCGTAGTTGAGAAGTGCTAGACGACTACATAACTCCTAGTGGATTTTGAACCACTTCTTGGGTACCAAGATACGAGCAAGATATTATCAGAGAACAGAACAAGAACGCTTAACAAGTGCACCATTTATGTTCGGTATTGAAAATGATCTTCCGATGGCCGGGTTCAACCAACAATCCCCTTTAGCAATGTGAACGGTCATCTATAGTGAGTCGAGCGCTGAAGTCCATTTATACCTACTTCCGTATGTCTTGAAGAACCTCTATTATTTATCCTAACTGAAATCAGCTGTTATTGTTGCCATATCATTTGTTTATTCATTAATTACTTATTACCTACCACTCTTGTACAAGTGAAATTGTTCCACACTAAATAAAAGTATGTTTATCAATTTTCACTCCATTCTGAACTTTTGTGATAAACAAATATTCAACTGAACGAATACATATACCTACATATAAGAGACTAATTTCATAGGAATACTATATGTATTTCGTTGATATATATTATGTACCTACTAACTTGATATCGACCTCCATTGAGGTCCTTCAGCCTTATCATTCAATATTTCGAGAAGAAATTATTTTCTAATCAATTTATCGTACCCTTTTACCCACTCGAGGAGACGCTACGCACTCTCATACAAAAATCAAAGACAGAGAAAGATATATGGATGTACTCTTCCCAGGACTTGTGGAAGAAGGCAGATGCAAGGATCCTTTATCTAAGCGAAAAACACATTCTTGTCCTTGTCTGGCAAAACATATCATTTGCTTCAAAATCGTTTGTGGTTATGTTTGATTGTCACTGCTTGTCTAGTGTCCGTACTCTAATATACAAAAAACGTCAAAACAGCAGTGTCAAGTACATTTAGGAACTCTACCATAGTCAAGGCACTCAAGGCAGGTGAATCAAGAAGTGACTTACAGATTCACATTTATCCATATCTCTACATGCCATAACGACTCTTGCACCTCTCCTTGCCAATTCCCATGCAGTTTCCTTTCCTATGCCAGTGTTGGATCCAGTAATGATAATGATTTTATCTTCTGCATCTGATGTGTCAAATCCTTGATATCTAGGTCCACCGACTATTTCTCTGTAGAAAAGAGATATATTATGGATTATTGAATGTAACTAGGTACTAACAGTTTTCAACTATTTTTGGGAACCACATATAATATGTATACAGTGTGTCCCATAACTCCCTGCAAAAACTTGTCACCCCCTTCATCTCCGAAGTCATTGAAAAAAATAAAAAATCACTAGGACAGGTCGATTTTAATTCAGCAGGGGGGCACATTTTCTGTAATTATTATATCCTAGATAGTCCAATCAATGAATGACCCAAGGGTGGGTGTAGAGTGCGTGAGCATGGACCTGAATGATTTCTTCAGAAACTTGTTGGAGGTGTTTAGAAAATGAACATACTAAAAGTCTTGTCGTCTAGCAGGTGAGCCAAAGGAGGGGGGTCAGAAAGATGGTTCCGCTTTTGGATTTATCGCTTATATGTTGAGCCTGTTCGTTTGTGGTTGCCCTACCTGCTGAAATTCATTTTTTTCTATAACTTTTCTATGACTGTAGCAATTTTTGAATTGACTCGGCCGTTACTTGATGGAAGTCCATGACAAATGTAAAAACTCCACAAACGATAAAATTTCCACAAAATTCTCACACACGACATGTTTCGCTAACACAGTAGTTTCGTCAGGTGATATACTGGTTCATCGGTTCCTCAGGGGCTCACAACTTGTGAGTACGGGAATGGTGAACCCGAGGTACCTTAGCCGGATACTTCAACTTGTCTTGGGTGATATCCTCTTCTCTCTCCTTTTTTTTCAATCTATCTATCGGCCTTTCTTGGCCAACTTCTCTTTCCCTCCTCCCCTCCAAGCCCAACCTCACCATCAAGTGGTGTGGGGAAGGCAGGCCGCGGCCGCTGGACAGATGAAGCATTTTGGGACCATCTTTGCTATCTTCTGCCAGATGGGACAATTTGTGGACATTTGTGGCAGGGATGGGGCGATTTGCTGATGTCTGTCTAGGTGGCCGAGGACTGGTCAACGAGGCTCTGGCAACCTAATCCAAGCTGTGGGAACCCGTGGTGATGGATGAATGGCACCGAGGTATAGTGTCGCTAACGGGGCCTCTGGGAAATAGGGCGACATCTCAGAGTAAGTAGCCTTAGCCCTGTGCAGGGGGCACCACAGGGCTGGACCAACCCCTTCCCCCGTCACTCGTAGGAGAAGGAAAACTTTTGGCCTTCTTCGTAGACGAGAACAGGGATCGGAAGAGTAATCTTCAGGAACCTGAACAAAAAGGGTCTTTCATATTGAAGTGGCCCTTAATAAGCTACATGAGTCGTATATGGTAAAATTGATAAGGGCTACTAGGCCTAAGTGTCGTCGGAGACTTCGGTCAGACGAGCCTACAAACGGAGTGGAGTGTTTAGTGGGTATACCCTGAAGTCAGGGGACTCCCACACTATCATATGGGGGATTGGACCCATATGGTGTCCATAAAGGATTTCGACCACCTCGATGAAAAAAAAAGTTAAAGAGGACAAAATTTTCTACATTTATGTAAAAAATGTTGGTAGGACACATATGTTGAGAGTAACAGCTCCATGAAGTTGCATTATTTGAAAAAACAATGTATTAAATTTTGTTATTTGGTTAATAATTCTGCTGCTGTGTTCCTGGACATCAGAAAAGCCTCCGATAGTGTATGGCACAAAGGTCTCCTATACAAACTATTCAATTTAAACTGTCCAAATCATCTACTTTTGTTAATGAAGGAATATCTCAACAGGCAAAACAGAATAAAAATCAATGGTGTGCTTTCAGAAATTTTCAACATAGCACAGGGAGTGTCCCCAATAGCTTCATTATTATTCAACATTTTTTGCTATGATATCGGAAATCAACTACCACTGAACGTAAACAATTACATACTCCAGTTTGCTGATGATAACACAATTATTGCACATGACAAACATATTCTGGGACTCATGGACAAACTCCAAACTATGGTTACAGCTCTGACTGAATGGTTTTGAAACTGGAGATAAACACCTAATCCGAAAAAATGTAAACTTATGATTTTTCCACCATAAAATAAAGAACAATTCTCCGACCATCGATATTCTGAATGAGACCATAAAACCAGTAGCAGAAACTAGATATCTTGGAGTATTACTAGACAATAAACTCAAGTTCCAGAGACATCTCATATCAGTCAAGAAGAAAGCAATTGGAAGAGCCAAACATTTTCGTGGTTTGACTTACAAGACTCAGGGAACAAAGACAACAACAGCACATGCAGAAAAACTACCCTGAAGAACATTGAAGTTGCCGAAAGAAGTTGTTTAAATCCGACATCCTAATAATACCTTACATAACCCTTCAAAAACCCTACTCTACAATCTAACTTAAGTAGAACCCATCCTCCAACGACTTCACAGACTCAGCACAGAATTTGAGAAGTCCGCCTACAATATCCCAGTGATCAATCCACAAGTTATAGGGCTGCCGTAAAACTTCATAACAAAAAGAAGATTTCCAGAAATAACTATTTTCCAAGGACTGATCCAACTGCAGCAAACAGGATAGCAAGCAATAAACTTTTTTCTTCCTTTTTTTTCATTATCACTAATGAACTATTATTATTATTACTATTATTCCTACTCTGTATATTATATTTTGTAATCTGGGCTGAAAGACTTCGGTCAATGGCCTTTTGGGGTATATCCCTAATAAAGATTTTCCCCTCTCTCTCTAATTAAAATAAATGATTTGAACCAATGCGAATCATATTGTGATATTTTTCGAAGAGACTCTACTTTGATTTTCTAAACCTTAACAGGATAGGAAGTTAGCGAGAGCACAGCTGCTGTGTAGTAGGTAGAGGGGGTCATATAAATGAATCGCTCAGGAGAAGAAGGAAATAATTACCATTTTGGGACAAACTAAACTAGCATAGTCATTTTGTTCTTTGGAAATGTACACATAATTTTAGCCAAAGAAGGGAACAATCGTGTTATTTTTAAATGCACTGCGCCGCGAACAAAATAATAATAATAATATATATTTCGGAGAATGTTTTACATTTTACAGAAAAGACAAAAGAAAAACATAAAACGAAACAACGTCAACGTATTTTGTACAAGTATATAGTGGAAGAAGGGAATTATATTATATGAAATTTATGTTTGAAATAATTCCCTTTTTCCACTGAATGCTCATAACGTTCACGCAATGCCCGTTCCCGTCAGCTGTTTAGTGTTTCCTATTTCATTAGTTACAGGCTTTTATTATTGGCACCGTTTTTTTTTCTAATCTATTGATTCTGCTTTGTGATTTCCATGAATAAATATGTGAAAAATTACATAAAAATAGTTATAGTGGAATGAGGAAATAACTAATTTCCACCCCTGATATCTCTTGGGCAATACTGAAATTGGGGAAAACTGGACTTTCAATGAATCCATTACACCATATCCAAAATCTTTCCTGTGAAGGGACTTCACGTTAAATAAACCGTCTAGGAGTTACGCAGTTTTTTTTGTTTTCCCAAAATTCTAGATTTTGTAATTATTTCCTTCTTCTCCTGACCGATTCGAATGACCTTCAGTACATCGAATCTGTATGCGTCAATGTGCTTAATGTCTAGCTTGAAGGTTACGCTGTCATGGTTGGTCAAGTTAATGTTTGTCATGGTTGAGTTCACATGTCACATAACATGTGAACTCAACCACGACAAACATTAACTTGACGGTTAGTATTTTTCACAGTTGGGTGAACATATACCTAGTATATAAGCAGTACACTAGAATAGGATATTTAGTTTTAATCTTCTCCTGAAGATGCTAACATAGTTAGCGAAACACGTGTCGAGGCGTTAAAAAATCGTTTTGGTTAGTCATTCCTTGAAGTTGAATTCAAGGATTTTAAGGATATATCACTGATTATTTAGGTACTTGAATATATCCATGATATTTCAAATTGTATCTTGGAAATATTCATTTATAATTTTGCTGCTTGTATGTTTTTATAATCTTCATTGATTCCTTTTAAAATAGGTACAAGTATGACCTATCGATGACCTACCTCTTACATAGCAGGTAGATACCTACTTTTCCTCATTGTTAATTTGTTTTTACATGAATGAACGTCCTGAATTTCAAATTCATTCATAATTGTTAATTTTCATGAAGGTATCTTGTGAAATAATTCAGGGAAAAACAGTATACATGAGCACTGAGGGGAAAAGTATACTGGTAGATCAAAGGTGGAATTTTCATCATGGTCATAGATAAATCATTTGTTCGGAAATTAATCGGTTAGCAGCATGATTCAACTTATTAGTCATTCATTCGAGACCAAGTGGTGAATCAAGACAGTCTTATATTAGATGTCATCACGAACGGTCGACTTTTGTGATCGCATTTGAAAAATAAGCGAAAGGATATATTTATCGTTCGAAACGGAGTGTTTACTTGAAAATGAGTGCAAGTGTTGTGTTTTTGTGTTCCTCATAATTCAGTGTTTCGTGTTGTTTCATCAAAGCTTCGCATTTTTCATGCTGGTGAGTGAATAGAGATTCTCTGTTTTTCCTCATATTTTTCTGTTTATATTCAACTCAATTAGCTTCTATGTTCTCAAAATAAGAAACGTCTGTTCGTTGAATACTTTCAAGATAATAATTCGAAACGAGCAAACCAGAAGAAAATAAGACGATTCGAAATTGTTTCATGGAAAAATACCTTTTTCCTATACAGGGTGTTTCAGATTTGAATGTACATACTAAACCTGTAGATAGAGGAAACTTTGGTGGTTCCAATCACTCCCTAATATGGATGTGTCTTCCATCTTTACTCGATCTTTTATAATCAATATAATATACAGGGTATGTCACGACAAGCTTACACTATCTTTATATCGAGAATCAGTCGGGAGAAATCCATGAAAGTGTGAATGCTTGTATTTCAGAATACGCTCTCTTCATGTAGAATATTTTCGACAATGCAGTATTGCCACTTCTACAAGAAAAAAATGATATTTCAAATGGAATACCCTGTATTTCATCGCATTTTTGGAT